GTGGATAGGGAGGGTGGGGCTTGGGGTTCATGCCATTTTTGATCAAAAACTGCTGACACTCAGCACGGTGTGGGCAGGTATGCTCGCAAATCACCCGTCAGGAAATTGGCAAACGTGTTGAAAGAGCCTTCAAAAAGTAATTCATTGAAGCCGAACACAGCCTCTCACAACAATGCCAGCTGGTCCCCTGGTCCACTGGTGCAGATGGGTTCCCAGAACACTCCCCTAGTTCGGGAAGCCTGGACTACAAGGGGTCCGCCCTCCCAAAGGTGATTCTGGTTATTTTCAGGTCCCCCTACTATGTATCACAGAGACAGGAATGCAGGGGGGCCAGGCCTCATTCATTCCCTTGGCCCCTCCTGATGCCGGGCAGAGTCTGCAGATCTGCTTCCCAAACCCAGGGTGAGGGCGGCTGCACTCTGGGCGCCTCCTCCCTCACCCCCAACCATGCTCCGGGACCTGGCTCTGGGCCATTACCCACCGAGTCTAATGAGAAAAAGCAAGTGCAGGGGCCCCGTCTTCACCTACCCACCCGCCGGCCACGCGCCGCCTGACGCCCGCGCAGCTCAGCCCTCTCCTGCCGCCATGCTCTCGCCGGTCCTGCCTGCTCAGGGACCCTGGCCTCTGCGGCGGTGCCCGCCTCTCCTCGGAAGCGAGGCCAAGGGGCCTGGCATCCTGGGGCCTCGGAGCACTGGCGACTCTTCGGTTCCCACCATTCCCTTCTAGCCGCCTTCCCAGAAAGTCCACAGCGCTGACTCACACCTTCCTGGGGGGTGGTGAACATGCCTGCTTCGCGGGGCCTCCACGCCCGCCTCTTGGCCATTTCCAGCCCAGACAGCCCAAGCCAGCAAGACAGCCCTGTCCAGAGAACGTGCAGAGAGCTGAGCCCTCTGCCTGTGGGACCCTGGCCGCTCTCAGAGTTCTCGTCTGAGAAGCAGGGCTGTGCGCGTCCTGCCTGCGTGGACTTAACAGTTCGCAGAGCACCGCCAGCCAGCCCGTGACCTCCTTCGCCCCTCAAAGCCCCGCTCCAGAGGACGAGCCTCAAGCCTGCTCCCCAGCACACAGGGCTGTACCTGTCCTTTGGCCTCACCAAGGCCTCCCTCCTCCCCCGGTGCCTGGGCTCCTTGGAGGTCCACGCGAGGAGGAGAGAACTGGGTGACCTCTCCAGGACCTGATTTCACGGTCCTGTGGCCCCCGGCAAGAGAACCCACACTGCCATGAGCTCTGGGCTAAGCTCAGGGTAATGTGTGATCTTGGGCAAGCCAACGCACCCCAGCGAGCCTCAGCTTCCTTGTCTGAGACTTGGAAATGCACCCCCTGGCCTCACAGCTCTCAAGGCTGGTGTGATCTCTCCAAGTGCCACAAAAAAGGCTGTCACCTCCAGAGGGCCAGCAGCTCAGGACTGGGGAACCGACTGAAAGGCAGAGGTGTGAACGCAGGAGAAGGCCCGCCTGCTCTCCTGTCGTGCAGGCCGAGCTCCGTGGAAGAGCGGTCCTTGCCTCCTCCCTCCCTCCCCTCAGTGCCGGCTCAGCCGTGTGGTGGCCCTGGGGCCTGGATGCAGCCAGTGGGCAGTGCTCGGCGTGAGGCTGCCCTCGTGTGGATCCCCACAGCCAGTGGGTGCTGAGGGGGTTACCATGGAAAAGTGGGCCAAGGCTGCCAGCTCAGCAGGCTCGGGCTGGGGTTACCCACGGAATCAGGGAGCCTCGGGGCCATGGGGGGCTGAGTGAGCCCTGCTTGTACCCAGCCTGTCCTGCCAGATGGCTTAACCGGTCCTCCCCTCTCTGGGCAGCAAGTTTCCCAACTATGTAGCGAGCAGGGTGAACTGCACGCCCCTAAGTTCCCCCCAGCCCTGGTCTAGGTGTGGCCTTTCCTCCCTAACGTGGTTTCTCTCCTAAGGGAGGGGCGGATAAGGACTGGGCGGCCTGAACGTCTGCTCCTGCGTCTCAGGGCCGCTGCGCTGATCCCGGGCCCTAACTGCCACCGCGGCGTGTTACAGCACATGCCTCCTTACACGCAGGGGCAACTAGTCATGGGTTCTGGGTTCTCTGCTACAAACACACAAAGAAATACACGTGTTTGATGAAGGGTAAAAACTTTAAAAAGGAAAAAGTAAGTTCACATCTGGAGTGGAGCACCCCACACTCACACATGGCACACGTGACCCCACACATGTGGGCAGGCCACACAGACGGACAGCCCCCCTCACACACCCCCCATATGCCCGCACACACACTCACAGCCCGACACGCTCGCACACACGCAAACCCCTGCACGCCACACATAACACACACACACACACACACACACACACACACACAGGTGGAAAGACAACAAAGGAAGTGGAAGAAAAGTGTTACCCATGAGTAGCCGCCGTTTCACCCGCTTGTCCACATCAGCTACTGACGTGGCATTGAACTGAGAGCGCTCAATTGCAGCCTCATCCTTCTCTAAAACACAAGTAAGGGACAAACACGGAGCCACTGGTTAATGAGAGCCCACTTCCCACGGCCCAAGACAGCCAGCCTTTCGGCGTGGCGCACACAAAGCCAACACAGCATGCGGCCAGCGCAGCGTCCTCGCCAAGGGGCTAAACCCAGGCACCTCTAAGGTGGCGTGTTCAGGGCAGAGCGAAGAGGCAGCGGGGTGGGGGGGGTTGGGGGGGTGAAGAAAAGGGAGGATGACCACAGAAGGACGGCAGATGGGACTCGGGGCGCATCTGCACACAGAGGGGGCGGCTGAGGTCAGAGCAGACAGGACGCATCTGGGGGGGGAGGCCAAAGGAGCAGGCAGCGCGCCGTGGAGCCCACGAAGGCACAAGCAATCCCAGGCACCCCGGCTCGGGCTGGAGAGGCAGGCACAGGACAAGGCACAGGACAAGGGGACAGGGCCGCGAGGTCCGGTGATGGATGCGCCTGGACATCAGACGCCGTCTCAAGGGCGTGAAAGTGTGTCAAACACTCATGCAAAATTAAGAACAAAACACAGAGAAACAAAAACACACACACACAGCAATGGATCCAACTGAACAGACAGAAAAACCAGGGGATCGATTTGGGCAGCGCTGGTTGCCTGCTTGTCTAGAGAGGACTAGAACAGTGCATTCGGGCGCTCGGCAGGGGCTGCAGAGGCGGCCAGCCGTTCTAGGGGTGTGCAGAGCGTCCACGGGGCGGCCGGGGAGCGGCCTGGCCGCTGGGTGGGGAGCTCCGCCGAGGCAAGGTCGGCCGGCACCGTTTCTTTGCTCAGTGGGAGATGTGCAGAGAACTTTGCTCCCGGGGGACGTGAGGAGCAGGGAGCAGGCAGACAGAAGGTCCTCTGGGCCAGCAGGGAGCAACGGCCCCGGAGCTGGGTCTGGGGAAGGGTTTCTAAGGCGGGGATGGCGGGGTGGGGAAGAGGGATGAGGGCAGTAATGTTAGAGGAGATCGGAGCAGGGGCTGTCACATGCAGCAGACACTACAAGGTGAAAAATAAGAAAGGATGAGCCAGGTGGACAAAGACAAGATGTGTTAGACGAGGCTGGGTGGGCGTCTGGCTGGCAGCTGTGTGCGCTGGTCCAGTGGCGGCAGGGTGGCTCCACCGCAGACGCAGACACTGAGGGAGACCCCAGCGGACAAGACAGGGCAGGGGCTGGGGGCCCGGGGCAGCCCCGGGGGCGGGGCGTGGGGAAGCAGAGACAGGGAGAGAGGCAGGAGAGGAGGTTCTAGATGGGATCAGGCTGCAATGGAGACACTGGTCTGAGACCGGGCTTTGCTTTGAATTGTTTTTGGTTTGGTTTGGTTTGGCTTTTGGCTCTGAAAATAATTAACGAATGTCAGTTTTCAGACAAGACAGGCAATCAGGGACCATCACCAGAAAAGCAGGAGGAATGAGATAAAATGAAACCAAAAACGGCTGTTGGAGAGGAGAGACCACACAGAGGAAGGGAGAACGGCGCGGCAGCAGCACCTGGGAGGGCGGCCAGGGGCTGGGGTGGAGGCGGCACCCCGGCCCGGCCCCGCCCCCAGCGCCCCGCGCCGGGGACAGTCACAGGGGACAGGGTTCAACAGCACGCGGGGAGTAATGGCTTTGCTTGCTTGTCAACCCCTTTTTGTCACTTGAGTGTCCCTCAAGAAATATCTTTCTAGTTGATAAGTAAGAAATGAGACCTTCTCTTTTTTAAACAGAAAGCCGTACCGACAGACTGGCGGGTTGCTCAAGTTTGCCGACCCTGACGAGACAGGCAGAGGGGAACAAGGGCGGACGGACACCAGCCCTGAAACTCCCTGTGCTCATTAAAATGTGGCCGTTCCTTTTGAGTGGGGAAAAGAACCTGCCAGTGACCATCGCACGAGACAATCACAAACACCCCAGCCTCTCCTTGGAAACAAGGACGGACCAGGAGGAAGGAGGCGACCGGGCCTCAGATGCAGACTCCGTGTAATGGGAGGGGAGGGAGGGGAGGGCCGTCGCTGGGAGGAAGGGACTCTAGGTAGGAGAGGAGGTCTGGCCAGAGCCCTGCTGGGTGGGGAAGGGAAAGCGGGTACAGACGCCCAGGCTCCCGCCCCGGCGGTCCCGACCATGGAGATGTGAAGCCGCTGCCTGAGAACGCCTGGCTTTCCAGGCCGCTGGGGCAGCTCGCACCACGGCCGGCCGGGGGGGCTGACTGAGCCGCCGTGTGTCTCCACGACACGAGGAGACCCTGTGCCTCAGGGACAGCAGCAGGCGCACGCCCAGCACACACACGCCCGCCTCCTCCCCACAGGCCGCCTGCCCCGGGGCGTCCCGCTGCGAGCACGAGGACTGACACAAAGCAGAGGCGCTGGTCCTGGGAGCTGACCAACCCCGGCTGCGTCTCCACGGAAAGCTTCCCGGCAGTTCTGGGGGGCACCCTTTTCCTGTCCCCCTCGGGCCTCCTCCTTGGAGACGGGGACGGGGTAGGGTGCTAGCTGGCACCAGGGCCGCCCGGCGTGCCCTGTGGGGGCAGGGCGGTGCGGGGTGTCGGCGCGGCAGAGGCGCCCACTTACCGATGCACGTCCGACCGTCCGAGTGCAGGGCGTACTTCTGGTGACAGCCACACAGGGGGCCCGTGTCCGTGTCCTCACAGCTGTGCTGGCAGCCTCCGTTTCCATAGTTACAGGTGACTAGTTAGGCCCAAAGTGTACACACGTACGCATGAACAGAACGACAACAAGAATGATTAGCTTCTCGGTGTTGGTGGTTTCTTTTAAGGGAGGGGCAGGAAAGCGAGGGCGGGAGACAGCCAGCGAACAGGCCCACCTTCCCCAGACCTCAGCCCTCAAGGGTCTTGGATGGAACTGTTCCCTCCCTAATGGTCGCTGGGTGGGGCAGAGAATGGACTTTGGGTGACCTGGGCTTTGAACAGAACCAGCACACAGCTGATGCACTCAGATGGTGTGATTGAAAGAAAGGGACAAGCTAGACAATGTCACCTTTCCTGGGCTGCAAAAGACACTTTAAAATAGCCTGCCTGGATGGGACAAATGTCTGTAATACCAGGAATATTCGGGGAGGCGGGATGCCGGGGAGAGGGGACATTCATTTCCTTAGTCCCCGAGAGCCTTCCTCTCTCTGCTTATGTCTTGGGACGAACGATGTCCCCATGGACGTCTGTTCTCTCAGGCCCCAGCAGCCGTCTCAGACTTGATCTCCTAGAAGCTCTAATCCCTGCAGAGCAATGTCCGCACAGACAGAACGTGTGCACAGTAATGCTGCCTCGGGTGCAGTTTTGAAAATGACCTTTTCTTTAAATTTGTTACACAGCCCGCAGTGCCCAGGGCCCGGAGGAGCTGGGGCCTTTCAGCCCATAATCTTAGCATGTTCCGCAGCATCAGCGACCTGGGGCGGCTGAGGGGGGCTGAATGAGAAGAAGCCATTCTGAAGTGGGAACAACGATAAGCTCAAGTTTATGGAAAACACGCAGCTGTCCCTCTGCAGGGCGAGAGACCTCGCTGATGGAGGCCCAGGGCCTCCCTGAGAAGGGTCCTTGCCACTCCTGCTTTACTCTGCTCACAAGGCCTCTGGGTGCCTGCCATCTGTCATACCAGGGCTTCGAGGACAAGGTGTCTCCTTGGATTCCTTAACCATTTGCCCAGAATTCTATTCACACTCTCAATTTACTTGGCAAAACCCTAATGATCATCAAATTTGAAAAAATTAACCTCAGACCAACCATGATCGGCGGGAGGGGCTCAAAGTTCTCAAGTGGCCGTCTGAACTAATGACTGCCTGTCAGGCTGACCCCTGAGCAGGGCTGGCCTCCCGGGGAAGTCATTTGGTGGCGATGCCCTGGTGAAGGAGCCTGAGCCCCTCAGAGCCAAGTTCTGAGGCCGCCTTTCCCGGGCCGGGCCCCTCCCCGCAAGCATGGCCCGGAGCCTCTGCAGGTGCCATCCTGGGAGACGCATCTCGCTGGGGAAGGGCACAGAGGCGTACAGGCTCCTGCGCAGTGTCCCAGACACTGTTTTAGTGACTAGAAGTCCCAGCAGGCTGTCTCTTCCACCGGGAGCTAAGGACCATCTGAAGGAGGGACGCCGCTCTCAGGGCAGCAGTTCGACGAGCTGCGGAGCTGCATCAGGAGCTCAGCTGGGGCGCAGGAGCATCCCTGGGGCGCCTGGCAGCCTGCGATCGCTCGCCTCTGACACAGCTGGTCTCTCTGCCCAGGGAAGCCCAGGGCTCCAGGGGTGGCCGCTTCGCACAGATGCCAGGTGACGGGGAGACCCCAGCAGAGCCCCACCTCGAGCGGGACATTGCATGCCTTTGCAGGCTGCAAGAGCCCTACGTCAGAGTGGGTGGGGTGGAGCCGGAGAGCAGGGTCTATCGGAGACCACTGCGGGGGGCACGCTCAGGGTCTCCCCTCCCCTCACACGAGTGTTTGTGCACCTCACGAACCCCAGGGGCTGAGTTTGGGAGCACCTGAGAGCCTACGGCTTGTACACAGAAATACAGGCTGGAGCCTGGAGCTCTGGGGAGCCCTGGAAAACCTCCCCCTGCCCTGGGGGGGGGGGCCCTGGGCTCGAGGGTGACGGTGGGGGCAGAGCTTCTGCGGGCCTGCTGGTCCACAGGGGCTGGCCAAGCGAGGCCTCGTCCCCAGCCCAATTCCAGACCTGGAACTTCCGGACCTCAAGTGACCTCAAGAGCTGAAGGGGAAAACCTCATCGCTAGCTTGACGCTATCCCCGCCACGCAAACCCGCGGAAGGGCCTAGGGCTGACCAGGGGCGCGGCCGCTGGTGCAGGCCCTTCACAGGAGGGCGGCAGGGGGCCCCCCCCACTCCTTGACCCCGGGGCTGCCGTGAGACTCTCCACACAGCTGGCGACAGCCAGCCGCGGAGCAGGGAGGCAGGGGCTCTGCTTCTGTTACCAGAGAACATTCTGGGCTAGGGCCTGGCTCTGCTCTGTTGGGGCGGAGCAGGGGTTCTTAGCCACTCACAGGGCCCTGCCTTGTCCCCGGCCACTCAAACCAGGTAGGCCACTCAGGAGATGCTGAGCTACCTGTCCCAAGTGGCCTGCGTCCCAGACAGAATTACAGAGCGAGGCCACACATCAGTGGCCCCAGCCTTCTCCCGCGCCCAGCACCTAATTCAGGGCTTGGCCAGGGCGGGCGCCAGCCGGTCTTGCTCACAAAAGGAATGTGCTTGCATTCTGGCCAAGCCTGTCAAATAGCCTGCCCACTCCACATGTGCCTGTCCCTAGCCTTTGTCCCGAGGACGCTCAAATTGCTGACGGGGGTTGGAGTTATTCACTCCCTGCACTGCAGGTAGCCAGGTGGCTGGTTTCTGGGCACCTGTGGAGAGGACGGGAGGGCCAGCTAGAGTCCCAGCTGGAGCGGCACCTCCCCGAACGGTCCTGCCCCGAGGGACAGCACACGCGTTTATCGCTGCAGTCCCACGGGGGGACCGGAAGGAAGAGGAAGAGGAAGAGGGGCGGCCCGCATCTTGGACCACACCAGGGTAGCAGGAAGCGTGTTCACTCTGAGGAATGGACGAATCCTGAGTGGGGGCTGGCGCATGAACTCCTTGGAGACGGAACTGTGTCTAATGCCTGGAGGCCCCCAAGCCCTTGGTGACTGCCAGAGGAGAGCCTGAGAGGGGAAAGGAGTGGTGGGTGCCCACGGAGAGCAGGTGACCCTGGCAGAATCACAGTGACTAGGGATGGTGGCCCAACAAGGGCTGCTGTCCTCTCTGCAGGATGAAGGGCAGAAGGCGAGGCCACTTCCTTACGAGAGCTGCTCAGCCTCAGCTGCCCACCACCACAGGAGCTGGGCTCGGGTTCCCCCGCACCACTGCCTGCACCAGGACGCGGCCGGGCGGGGAGCGCCCGGCTCTGGCCAGAGCTGGGCACGCTCGCGGTGTCTGCTGCCCGGCACTCCCCATGCAGCCGGCAGAGGCCGCGCTGGGGCGGGGCTTTGGAGGGTGAGCTGAGTGCGATGGGCCTGCCCCGCTTTGCTTGTGGGCTGCCACTCCCACCAGGGAGCGGGTGACTCCACCGAAAGGCTGCATCGCACCCTGAAGTGGCCCCTTTGGCCAGAGGCCTCATTCAACCCAGATCTCCCAGGGTACACTGCGAGTTCTGACCTTAAATCCTGGGCCGGGGTCCCCCAGAACCAAGCTCTTTTCCTTCTTTATATCATCCTGCTACTGAGCGCTGGCCAGGGCAGCTGCCAGACGCCCAAGCGCGCAGACCGCTGTGCCAGCCCCTGCCTCCCCTTGGAGACCGAGTGCAGAGCAATGGGCCCCTGGGATCGGGGGAGCGGAGGGGGGTACGGGAGGAGCTGGCAGGGCCATTGAACGGGCCCCACGTGAAACTCGGCCCCGCTCTGGGGCGGTATGGGTGGGGTGATGCCAGGTGGGAAAACCTCCAGCCTGGGGTTCAGGGCCCCATCCCTCATGCCTCCCAGACCCCTGCAGGGGCCATGCCTTTTTCTCCACCCCGGGGGCTGAGAGCCCTCCCTGGGCCACATCCAGCAGAGACTGGACAGACCCCCCACAAAGCAACGGCAGGAGACGCGTGGGGATGTCTGACCCATTTGCCTCCATCTACCTACGTGTGCAGTCCTTCTGGTTTGGGGCAAGGTCAAAGCCGGGCCTGCAGTCGCAGGCCACCCCACCTTTGGGCGTCTCCCGGCAGATGTGGGCACAGCCATGGTCTTTGTTCATGCAGTTCATACCCTCTGGGAAGAGACAGACAAGAGGGGGTGGGGACCAGGGAGAGAGGGAGAGAGAGAAAATTTCAGGCTGAAAAGATAGCCCACAAAACATCCCAACCAAACGGCAGGTTCCAGGGCAGCTCTGAGCACACACACTGCACACGCGCACAGGGGCGTGCACCTGGCCATCCAGGTGGAGGGCCCTGGGGGACAAACGGCGGACACGGTTTCCCGGCCTCGCTCCGACGGCCACATGGAAGGTGACAGGGAGGGGCCCCCAGGGAAGACACTCCCGCCCTTGGTCAGACTGTGGGGTGTGGCCTTTGGAACTGCTTGCTGGTCAGGGCTTTAGACGGCGACCCCACTGCTGCAGGGGTGGGCGGTGTTAAAACCGCGGCTGTGTGCGGCACTTCTCAGCGTGCACAGGGGTGCCACGTACTCCCCTGAGGCGGGCCGAGCCCCGAGTTCCCACGCCCCGAGCCTCCGGCGCTCCCCCAGGCACCCCAGGCCCACCTGGCCCCCTCGGTGAGTTTCTGCACACGCCCACCACCGGACCTCAGGGCCTCGTCCTTGCCGGCCCCGCCACCATGTGCTGGACGACGCGCCACCCCAACCCCCACCAGGGCCCGAGGGGTCTCCACGTGTACCTGGTCACTGCGGTGCTGCCCCCACCTCCACGTGCAAAGCCCTATACAACCTGTGCAGGCCCCGCTCCACCCGCGCACCCCACCCCCTGCCCACCCCGCACAGGCACCCTCGGTCCCTGTGGAGCGCATCCCAGGTTCAGGGGCACACACGTCACCACATGTTCCTATTCTTGCCCAAGATTCCTGCTAGTTGTCAGGTGCTACTTTTTAAAACAAAAATGTGCGCAAATCTCCGGTACCTTTCTCCCCATGGTCTTGTCTTAAAAGGGCAGCCAGCGGTGGCCTCCCTGCTGGCCGGCTGGGAGCTTTCGGCAGGAAGTGTCAGAGGGCCCGGGCTGGACCCCGCCGGCCACGACGCCCCCACCCTCCGCCTGCAGCTGCCTTTGTCTCAGCCTGGCCCACGGCGGCCCTGCCTGGACGGCCCTTCCAGCGTGTCTTCCGGCCACGCTTGGGAGCCCTGCCCCGCACAAGGCCCGTCAACTCCCTGGGCTCTCAGAGCCTCCATGCTGCTCCAACCCCAGGCAGGGACAACGTCCTACGCATGCTCTGGGGCCCCTCGTCCCCTATAAAGGCAAGCAGTCCCTTCCGAGATGGGGGACCGTGATCAAGATGCCTGCCCCGAAGGGCTCTACAGGCCCTAGACGGTAAAGCCCATCCACCTCCCGTGCCGGAGACCTCGCTGAGCGCAGAGCCGGGCTGTGCGCGGCGCCAAGGGCAGGGGCTCTTGGCTCCGTGCCTCCAGACGCTCGCCCTCCGCGCCCCACCTAGTCAGCTCTGGGGGTGCTGCCGAGATGGCGAGAACATGATCCCCTCCCCGCAGTCCCCTGCAGTCCCCCACCCCAGGAAACTTGACCCACCTCCCTGGCTGCCTGGAGCGGCTTGGACCCCTTTTGGTTGACCCCAGTTGATGATGTTTATCTTCCTGGTGATTTGCGAGGAGTTTCCAGAATTTATTAGGTCCAAGGTCAAGTGCGAGGGTGTAGGTCACAAGTCCATTGAGAGGCTGATGGCGGACGAGAGGCAGAGCTGCCGTCCGCCTGCAGGCCCTGAGCCCTGACTGCCATATCCTGCTGCGAGGAGCTGGCCTGGGACGGAGGGAAGAGCCCTGCAGACGGGGGCACACGGGCGGCCTCCTCTCCCAGGCGGCTCACTGGTCTCCTGGTCAAGGTGAGGACTGGCTCGACCTTGACCCCGTCCACTTCTCACATGGGCGGGAAGAAGGCAACTGAGAACTGACATGCATTAAAAAACACACACGCTCTGGCAGGCAAAGCCTTCTAAAGTTCTGAAGTTGAACAGAACAGAAAGTTGAAGTGAATGTAGCCTGCATTTTGCTCGGCATGCTGACCTCTGGTTTCACCTGATTTTACTGCTCTTGTGATTCCTTCCCCTTGATTTTCTTACTTATTCAAATCAAATTGTGGACTGATGCAGAGTATGACCATCTAACCCACAAGCCGAATCAGCCAAGCGCGTGAATGCCAGGCTCCTCACAGGAGGCTGCAAATTCACGCGGAACGCGCTACGCTCCACGACAGCAGATGTGCACATCTGGTAGAGAGGTGTGCTGATAAACGATTAGCAGCTGGTGGAGGCGGGGTGAGGCTTGGGCGGGGGACGACTGGCAGCCTTTGCCGGTTTCTGTGGAGTCAATGCTCCATCCAAGCTCCAGGGAGACATCATTGGATGCGAGTGGCCCTCGCGAGGTGGTACGAGCCAGCCTGGCGTGTGCCTTTCTCAGAAAAGGCTGCTGGTGAAGTCGGGCACAGCCCGGCCTCCTGACTGCTTGTGTGTCCGGAGGAAACTGCTTCACTTCTCACAGCCTCATTGGTGGAACACAGTAATGCCTGCCTCCAGGGCAGCAGGGAGCCAGAAATGGCAGGCTCTCGGTAGCCACAGGTGCACCGAGCCCTTCTCCTGCAGGGCTGGAGAAGTGCAGCCCCTCGGGGCCTTGGCCGGGCAGGCAGCCCTGCCGCAGAGGAGGCTCCCGCCATGGTGCTCCCTGGGGCCGCGGAGATGGACTCGGGCCTCTGCTGGCCTTCCGAGAGACCCCTGGCCTGGTAAGGGTTTGGCCAGTGGGTGGTGGCTGCTGAGTGGTCTCTCTGCCGTCATCTGTGGTCGTTGTCAGTGACGCGCTGAGCCCAGGAACGCCCTCACTCCCTGCCCGTATGGTTTTTGGGCTCCTTGGCGCCCACAGATGCGCAAGCAGCTGGAGTTCTTGCTTCTCCCCGGCTTTGTCACCTGCCATCTGCCACAGTCCCCCATGGCGTGTGATCCCGCTCCGCTGGCTGACCACCCCCGGAGCACCCCACCCACCCCCTTGCTTCTCCTGCTTCCATAAGCTCCAGGAAATCCTGGGCCCATCTCAAACTCCACCTGGGCCACAGAGTTTGCTGACCCCTGGGTGGCACTCCCCCGGCCTCCACGCCAGGGCGGGCTTTCAGGCTGTCCCACGGCTGCACAGGAAGTTGATGCCAATCAAGCAGATCTGCGCTTTCTTCCTGAGCTGGGAGGGCCCACGGCCCGTGCTGAAGCTCCAGCTTCTGTGCAGTGGAGAAGGGAGACTAAACTCCCATCTCAGCCAAGAATCGCAGCTTACAGGAAACCCTGGTAAGCAACCCCCACCGTGGACACCTTGGGGGAGCCGGCACAGCCCGCCCCAGGGCCAGAGCGCTCAGCTCCCGGCCTGGCCCAGCTCCCTCCTGTGTAGCGGACCTGCTGTCAGGCGACCTTTCTTTCTTTTCTATTTTTAAAAGACTTTAAGAAATATATTTATTTTTAGAGAGAGGGAAGGGAGGGAGAAAAAAGAGAAACATCAATTGGGTGCCTATCATACGGGCCCTGACCAGGACCTAACCTGTAACCCAGGCGTGCGCCCTGCCTGGGAATCACACCGGCGGCCTTTCCCTCTGCGGGACAATGCCCAGCTCACCGAGCTCATGAGTCAGGCCTGACCTTTCGGAGATTCTAGACTAATAGCGAGCCAAGGAGATGTTGCTGTTTTGCTGGCAAAGGGCAGTTTGTGGGAGTGACCCTGCACTCAGGTTCACAGTTGGCTTCCGCTGGGCAGTGAAGCCCTTCTGGAGCGGGGCAGGCGGACCCCCTTCCCCCCCACCCCCTCCCGGCTCGGGGATCAGCTAGCCCCAAAGGTGTGGTCTCCATCCCCCACTGAGGGGGGGGTGCTGAGGGCCTGTGATTTGTCCCCTTGCCCGAGGCCCCACCCCAGCCCTGAGGCCCCTCTTCTCCAGCGGAGGGCAGGGGTGGGCTGGGCCCAAGCGGGCAGGTTTCCGGCCCTTTTTATGTTTCCGGCAATTGCAGAGGAGCCCGGAGAGCTCGTATTTAGGTGCTATAGCTGTTCATGTTTACCACACTAGAAATTAAACGGGGAAGCTTATATTAATTTATTTAAAAATATAAATTAAAAGCTCATTACTTTAACATTAACTCCTTTTGTATTACAGGCGGTGTTTTCCAAAGCAAGGGGAGAGGCCGCAGAGCGGGGAGCCCCTGCAGAGGACAGAGTTGGGGCGGGTGCTGATTCTCGCCCATAGTGTTTGAACCCCTGGGGGGACAGCTGGGCCTGAAGCCATGTCCCCTGCTTCTCCAGGCACCTGTCACCTTTCATCTGCACGGGGTTAAGGGGCGTCTCCACTGGCAGCACCTCCCGCAGACGGGACGCCACAGGGGCAGTGACCAGCGGCGACACTCGGGAGGGTGACAGGCCCTGCAGTCAGCACCCCGCATCCAGTTGCTCGGCTTTTTCCCCGCCATGGACTTGCTCTCAGGGGGCGTCTCTTTCCTTGAGCCCAGACTTCTTAGTCCCGAGCCATGACGAGCATGACCAGGGCCTTCTGAGCATCTGCGCTCCCCTCGCCCGCAGCGCCGGCGTGCGGCTGGGCTGCCCCCTTCTGCACCCGTGCGACTCCCTGGCCCATCCCGAGGGCAGGCTGTGCTCTGAGCCTTCTCAGTGGCCTCACTGTCCGACGCAGGTCCTATGTCTCCACAGTGAACGGAGTTGGAAACGGACGACCTTGGCCACCTGCAGGAGGGTCTGGGGCGGAGGCCTGGCTCTGCACTGAGCAGCTGCCATCCTGGGCGGCTGCCGCCAGCAGACAGGCTCGCGTGGACTGGGGTCTACTCAGCCTGGGCACTTCTGGAGGCCCCTGACCCCGGGCAGATGGTCACGGGACCGTCGGAGCCAAGGCAGCCGCCCCCTGGGCCCAGCTCCCTGTCTGATGTGGGGGGTCACCGCGGTACTGAGGGCAGCAAAGAGCCCTGTTCATCTCCCCTCCTCAGGGGAAGTGAGAGAGAATTTCAGATGCCTTCCCAGAAACCCTGGCCTTCAGGGGCCCGGTGCCAGCCAGGCCAGGCTGCCTG